ATATATTTTTGTTTTTATTTTATTTAATCGTATTCATTTTATTATTTCATTGTTTTAAAATCCTCACCTGAGAGTATTTTTCCCATTGACTTTTTTTTTTTTTTTTTAGAGGGTGAGTGGCCGGGAGAGGGAGAGGCTGAGAGAAACATCCATGTGAGAGAGACACACGGACTGGTTGCCTCCTGCGCACGCCCTGACCAGGGCCCGGGCGGTGAGAAGCCTGCATCCAGGTGGGCGCCCCTGACCCGGACCGAACCTGGGCCCCTTTGGTCCGCAGGTGGCGCTCTACCCACTGCGGATACCACCTAGGGCTTTATTTTATTTTTTAATATATATTTTTTTTAATATATTTTATTGATTTTTTACAGAGAGGAAGGGAGAGGGATAGAGAACTAGAAACATCGATGAGAGAGAAACATTGATCAGCTGCCTCCTGCACATCTCCTACTGGGGATGTGCCCGCAACCCAGGTACATGCCCTTGACCGGAATCGAACCCGGGACCCTTCAGTCCGCAGGCCGACGCTCTATCCACTGAGCAACACCGGTCAGGGCTATTTTTTAATGTATTTTTATTGATTTCAGAGAGGAAGGGAGGAGAGAAACATCAATGATGAGAATCACTGATCAGCTGCCTCCTGCACGCCCCCCACTGGGCAACCCGGCAAGTCCCCTGAGCGGGAATCGAACCCGGGACCTCTGGGTTCCTGGGACAACACACTCCATTGGGCCCCGCCAGCCCGTGGTGGTGACTCACTATTAGCCGCCAGGCCCTGTGCGCGGGGGTGAAGGTTCATGTGCAGCCCTCGCGGCCCCTGGGTCTGTCTGTCCCTCTGATGTCCTCGCCGAGGTCCCCGCGGGGCAGAGGGCTGGGCGCGCAGGTCCCGCCTCCCGACCTTGGGCTGGGCCGCGCTCTGCTCTGCGGGGAACACCATTTCCACCCTCACGTCTTCCTTCCGTCGCCGGGGGCCCTGCTGCCACACGCAGGGACCCCCCCCCCCCCCCCAAAGCCCCAGAACTGGGCCCAGGTCCGGGGGACTCTCAGGGTCCAAGGACACCATCGGTTCCGGAGACGAAGTGTGAGGGAGGTTGTCTCGGTTCAGGCCAGGAAAAGGGGAGAAGGGGTGGGAGGGCCAGCCTGGGCCTCAGTCGGGGAGGGAGGGCCTGGTGCCGGGGTGGCTGCCGTTGGAAGGGGGACTGACCCGCCTGCCCCCCCGCCCCGCCCAGGACCCCTCCCCAAGCCGCGGCTCCGGCCCCTGTGGAGCGGGAAGGTGAGTCCGGGCCGGGACGCGGTCCTGCGCTGCGAGACCCCAGTGGCCCACCAATCCCTGGAGCTGCTGGCAGCGGGCGAAGTGGTGGCCTCGGCATATGGCCCCTCCGAGGACCTTGTGCTGACCTACGTGGGGCCCCAACACGCCGGCAAGTACAGCTGCCGCTACCGCTCCCGGTGGCCCCTGGTGTCTGAGCTGAGCGACCCCGTGGAGCTCCAGGTGGCAGGTGAAGTCCCGCTGGGTTCTGAGAGCTGGATTCCTCCCCCTCCACACCCCTCACCTCTGCCCAGCCTGCGCCCTCTCTCGGGCGTGCCCTCCCCGATGCATCAGTTAGTGCGCTCTGATGGAGTTGGTGGGGGAAACAGCAGGTGCAAAGGCCCTGGGGCAGCGAGGAGCTTGGTCAGCTGGAGCGCCAGGAGGGAGGCCTGGGCAGGGTTTGGGGGCAGCTGACTCATCTGCTTCCTTCCTGCGGGGGCTCCAGGAGGTCGACCAGGGTTGCACCCAGGGGCACCTCCCTCTCCTACCATTTTTGTCAACTTTGTCTAGAACGTTGATCCAGCTGCAGACCTGGATGCTGAGGGTCTCCTGGTTCCCCCCGGCTCTGCTCCTCCTGCTGCAGCTCGAGGCTGGACCACGCCCGGAGCAGGGAGTGTGTGTGGGGGGCGTCAGGAGGGCTCCCCCTCACTCCTCCCAGGAATTAATAAATGTGAAAAGACTTTAAAACGTGTCTTTTGCCAGTGGCAGCACTGCTGAAGGGCTGGCTGCCCAGGGCTGAGGGAGGAGGGCGGGTGCGGGGTTGGGGCCTCGGGGTGGAGGGGGCCGAGGACTGGCTCCAGGGCCCACCTTTCTCTTTTCCTTTTTAAATTTTAAATATGTTTTGATTGATTTCAGAGAGGAAGGGAGAGGGAGGGAGAGATAGAAACATCCATGATGAGAGAGAATCACTGACCAGCTGCCTTCTGCACTGGGGATGGAGCCCGCAACCCAGGAATCGGACTGTGACCTCCTAGGGCAGTGATGGTGAACCTTTTGAGCTCGGCGTGTCAGCATTTTGAAAAACCCTGACGTAACTCTGGTGCCGTGTCACGTATAGAAATTTTTTGATATTTGCAACCATAGTAAAACAAAGACTTAGATATATATACAGTGGGGCCTTGACTTACAAGTGTCGCGACTAATGAGTTTTTCGAGATATGAGCTGTCTCTCGGCCGATGTTTTGCTTTGAGTTGCGAGCTAAAATTCGGGTGACGAGCCAGCTTCAGATACCCCACCGCTACTTGGCGCAGCGAACATCAGAGTGAACGCCACAACATCAGCCCAGCATCATGTGTCTCACTTGTTCACCTTTTGATTTGACATACGAGTAATTTGAGTTACGAGCTCCATCACAGAATGAATTAAACTGGTAAGTCAAGGCCCCACTGTATATATTTTTTTTAATATATTTTTATTGATTTCAGAGAGGGAGAGGGAGAGGGAGATAGAAACATCAATGATGAAAGAGAATCATTGATCTGATGCCTCCTGCACGCCCCCCAGTGGGGACTGAGCCTGCCACCTGGGAATGTGCCCTTGACTGTAATCGAACCTGGGAACACTTCAGTCCTCAGGCCAATGCTCCATCCACTGGGCCAAACCAGTTAGGGCTATATTTTTGATATTTATTTTATATATTTAAATGCCATTTAACAAAGAAAAATCAACCAAAAAAATGAGTTCGCGTGTCGCCTCTGGCACGGGTGTCATAGGTTCGCCATCACTGGCCTAGTTCACAGGTTGATGCCCAACCACTGAGCCACACTGGCCGGGCTGGAGCCCACCTTTTACAAGACCTTCTTCCTCCACCCGGATGCCTCCCTCCTGGCTGCTGGGCCCCAGACACCCTCCCCTCCCACCTGGACCAAACCAGCCCCCACCCAGGGAGGCAGCTCAGAGGCTGCACTTTGTTCCGTCCTCGGGCTGAGCGGCCACCAGGTGGCGGTGCTGGGCTGTGTCCCGGCCAAAGGCCAGGTCTCCCAGGGGGAGCATGAAGCTGTGGGAGGGATGGGACTCCTCTCTGTTCTCTGTCCCTGCGATCTCAGCCCCCTGTGCCCGCAGGACACTCTCTGAAATCAATGAAAACATTAAGAATAGAGACTCCGCCCTAGCCGGTTTGGCTCAGTGGATAGAGCGTCAGCCTGGCGGACTGAAGGGTCCCAGGTTCGATTCCAGCCAAGGGCACATGCCTGGGTTGCAGGCTTTATCCCCAGTGGGGGATGTGCAGGAGGCAGTCGATCAATGATTCTCTCTCATCATTGATGTTTCTATCTCTCCCTCTCCCTCTCTGAAATCAATTAAAAAAAAAAAAGAATAAAGATTCTGCCCTAGCCGGTTTGCTCAGTGGGTAGAGCGTGGGACTGGCCCACAGACCGAAGGGTCCCAGGTTCAAGGGCACATACCTCAGTTGCAGGCTCAATGCCCAGCCTCAGGTCTGGGCAGTCTCTCTCTCTCTCTCACATAGATGTTTCTCTCTTTTCCTTCCATTCTCTCTAAAAATCAATGGAAAAGTATCCCAGGTGAGGATTAAGAACAAAGACTCCTTCCCCGCCCCCCTCCCTCCACCCTCTTCCTGCTTCAGACAGATGTGGGCACACACCTGCCGACACAGCGGGCTCTGGAGATGCCGAGGGAGAGCCTGCTCCTTGGGCGACAGAGATGGGCCAGCCGTGCGGAGGGAGGTGGAGACGGATGTGCCAGCCAGAGCCGGGCCGGGCCCTGGGTCAGGTGCTGCACAGAGCAGGTCCCCCGGGTTGAGCGGAGTCACTTTTCCGGGTCCCTCTGCAGCTGGACTGCAGGCTCACGTCCGTCTCCTCCGCTCCCCGCAGCCTGTCCCAGGCCCGAGCCAGGTGCGTGCTGCGGCCATGTCCCTGGGAGGATATGTCCCACGTCTCTGAGTTCCTCCCTCTGTCCATCAACTTCCTCTCCACCTGACCGCCTCCGCGCATTGTGGGTGGCGTCTGTCCGAGTCCGGGTGTCTCTGGGACTCCCGTGGAGATACCGACACAAGATCTGTCTCCCCAGGGCTTAGCCTTCCTGTGCTGAACCTCTCTCCTTGGTTGGTCTTTTTAAAAATATATATTTTTATTGATTTCAGAGAGAAAGGGAGAGGGAGAGATAGAAACATCAGTGATGAGAATCATTGATTGGCTGCCTCCCGGGTGCCCCAAAAGTGGGGATGGAGCTGCAACCCGGGCATGTGCCCTGACAGGGAATCGAACTGTGACCTCCTGGTTCATAGGTTGACGCTCAACCACGGAGCCAGGCTGGCCGGGCTGGTAACATTTCGTTGAGGCCACTGTGTGCTGGGACCCGGGGAGAACCTGGTTGCTCTTGCCTTGCAGAGCCCACGGTGGTGGCAGACAGCCCAGAACACACACATGGACAGGCAGCCGCCTGGGAAGGCACCGGCCCCAGCACATGCGTTCAGCAGACAGGAGTCCGGGTCTGCTGGGTCCTGTAGGAATAGCTGGTGGGTCAGAGAGGAGGACAGGGCCCTGCTCTCGGAAGCTCAGGGCATCTCGGGAAACACGTGGAGTGAATACCGCGCGGCAGGTTTAGGAGAGGCGAGTGGCAGACACAGATACAAAGGCACGTGGGCAGGAACCATGGCTTAAGAACTGCGAGTCGTTCCCCGTGGCCCGTGGGGCCGCATCACGAAGGGCAGGCACAGGGGTTTGGGCTTCATCCCCGAGGGCAGGACTTTGAAACCGTTTCATGTCACGGCGCCCTCACGGAAAGGGGACCACATCCGGGTGCACCTGAGGGTGAGGCTGTTTGGCCCAGAGTGACTCCTGTCTTGGCAAACCCGCATCCCGTCCAGGAAGCTCTGCGGTAGAAGGTGAGGCATCAGACAGCTCTCCATCACCCAGAACAAGATCAGATGCAGGGAGTGGAGGGAGCGGCCTGGAGGCCGGAGTGGCGAAGGCAGGAGGGGGCCCTGCTGGAACCCACATGAGCCGCACACGAGGTCCCGATGGTGGAGAAAGCAAAGCCGCGGTGAGTGTAGGTAGAACGCACAGGCCCGATGGCTGGTGGGAAGTGGAAGGAGGGGCAGGAGCACAAACGAATGCCGCTCGGGGGGTGTCAGCAGCTCTCCCAGCAACGGTGGGAGCACGAGGGAGCGTGTTTGGGAGCCTCACAGCAGAGGCGGACGCCCCAGCCGGGCTGGGCTTGGGGCACGAAGAAGTTGGAGGCGCAGCCGGTGGAAAGGCACAGCCCTGGCTGGTGTCCTCAATGGTTAGAGCGCTGGCCCTTCCACCCGAGGGTTCGACTCCCCGTCAAGGGCACGTCCCTGGGTTGCAGGTTCTTCCCTGGCCCTGGCCTGGGCGTGTGTGGCAGGCAACCAGTCCGTGTCTCTCCCTCCCTCCTACCCTTCCACTCTAAAAATCAATGAAAAAAAGTAACTTCGAGTGAGGATTAGCCAGAAAAATAAAAATAAATAATAAAGAACGAAAGGCACAGAGGCAGCGTGGGCCGTGTCCCCCGGGCTCGGCAGGCGAGGGCCCCGAGTGTGAACCTGGGGCCCAGCCCAGCCCGTCGTCCTGGGACCGAGTCCTGACAGGCGCCACCGCTGCCCTGGCTGCGAGGACCGACACCATCAGGGCGCGCTGTCCGCTGAGACGGGCCTGGCGGGGACGGAGGGCGGCGGGGTCCTTCCGGAAGCGGACGTCTTGGCATCTCCGGGTCCCCCAGTGCGGAGTTGCTCCCAGAGAGCCCCAAGTCTGCCCTCGAACCTCCACATTCCGGGGGCGTCCTCGATGCCCCGCCCCATTCTTCTTGGCTCCCTGGGCACTTGGGGTCTCCCTCTCCACGTTGCGCAGGAGGCCGCTGCCCGGCGGTCACCTCGGCACCGGGACGTGGACCCGCAGGTGCGCCAGGAGGGCGGAGCTGCGGCTGAAGGCCTTCCCGCAGTCCCCGCACCGGTAGGGCCTCTCCCCTGTGTGCACCCGCTGGTGCTCGGCCAGCGAGGAGCTCTGCGCAAAGGCCTTGGGGCAGACCGGGCAGCGGTAGGGCTTCTCCCCCGAGTGGACCCGCAGGTGCCGGATCAGCGCCGAGTAGTCGCCGAAGGGCCGCCCGCAGGCCTCGCACGCGTAGGGCTTCTCCCCGGTGTGGACGCGCCGGTGCTGCGCCAGGTGCGCGCTCTGGCTGAAGGCCTTGCCGCAGGCGGCGCAGGCGTAGGGCCGCTCGCCCGTGTGCACCCGCGGGTGCTGCCCGAGGTGCGTGCTGCGGCCGAAGGCCTTGCCGCAGTCCCCGCACGCGTAGGGCTTCTCCCCGGTGTGGATGCGCCGGTGCTGCGCCAGGTGGGTGACGCGGCTGAAGGCCCGGCCGCACTCCTGGCACGCGTGCGGCTTCGCGCCCGTGTGCACCACCTGGTGCTGGGCCAGGTGCGTGCTGCGGCCGAAGGCCTTCCCGCACTCGCTGCAGGTGTAGGGCGTCTTGCGGGAGTGGCCCCTCCGGTGCGCGTCCAGGGCCCGGGCGCTGGAGAACGTCTGGCCGCACTCCCCGCACTCGGAGGGCGCCCGTCCCGGGAGCGCGCACAGAGGGTCGGCGCCACCACCGTCCAAAGGGCCGGACTCCTCCGCGGCGGGGGCCGTATCCGGCCAGGTGGCCTCTGACCACTCGCTGCGGACGTTCCCGGAGTCACGGCCCGGCTGGTCCCTGAGGGCCGCCTCGGGAGGCCCCGGAGCGGCCCTGAACCCTGTCTCCGGGGCGCAGGGCTCGGTCCAGACGTCCCCCGGGAGCCCCACCATCCTCTCCGAGCTGCCCTGGGGTCCAAAGGCCTCACCAAAGCCGTGTCCCAGGGACGCGCCCCCCGCGAGGGCCTGGGCAGCCGCGTCTGCCTCCTCCGAATCGCCGTGCTCGCAGCTCGGCCCCGGGGGCTCGGCTCCCGGCTTCCAGCCTGAAACAGGGAGCCGCAGCGTCAGGCCTCGGGCATCAGCCTCTGGACTCGCCCGGGGGCTGGCCTCCCTCTGTGGGGACACGTGGGCCACTCCTGACACACCAGCTGGGCGCTGCTGAGCATCCAATCCCTCACCTCCCAAATTCCAAATTCAGAGAGAGAGAGAGAGAGAGAGATCGATTGGCTGCCTCCCTCACACGCACCGATCCCAGGCGGGGATGGAACCTGCGCCCTCCAGTGTACAGGCCCCGCTCTAACCACTGAGCCATCCGGCCTGGGTCTGAGGCCTGGCCTCTCCGAGGTGCTGGGCGGGCAGGATGTGGCGAAGGGCAGCCGGAGGTGGGGCTGTGTTCCCGAGCTCGGGCACCTGCCCCGGCCTACCCTGGAAGGGAGCACAGAGCCTGGGTTCCTGGAGGATCCCAGGAAGGAGGGGTGAGGAGGGGGCCCCAGTGATCCACCCCTGTCTAGCCCCCCGTTTCCTCATCTGTGAGGGAGGAAGGACACACTGCGGCCCCCAGGCTGCTGGCCGCTCTCAGGCTTCGAGTGTAGTAGATACTGGCCGTGGCCTCGTTTCAGCTTCAACCTGAATTTCAGATGGAAACGGAGGCCCAGCCGAGGGAAGATCTAAGTAACTGATGGGAGGTCATCATCAGCTCAGAGAGGCTGAGCCACTTGTACAAGGTCACACAGCAAGTGGCCAAGCTGGGGCTTCGGCTGTAGAATCTCATCGCCCTTGAGTCCCGCAGGGGACCCCTCAGCTCCCCGAACCCCACTGGTCTTGTGCTGCACCCCTCCCCTCCCCTCCCCTTCTTCCTCTGTTCCAGGAACCTGCTCTTCCAAGAACGCACGGGGTCCATACACACCACAGGGCCTCGGCCCCACCTCTCCGTCTGGCTCTCCCTCTTCCTTTCAGCCCCCTGTTGCCTTCCTCTCCCTTCCTCCCTCTCTGCCCGGCCCTATGACATCCGAGTGGGCACAGGCGATGGGACCAAGGGCGGGCACCCAGCTGACCTCGTCCAGAAACGCCTGCTTCTCAAGGAGCTGAACAAGCTGCCCCGACAGTGGCTGTTGCACGTGCTGCAGAGGCACCGCCATCCCCACTTTACTGACAGGGAAACTGAGGCATAAGAGAGTCACACGGCCACCCGCCCGAGTGGCTCAGTGGTTGGGCGTTGACCCATGAACCAGGAGGTCACGGTTTGATTCCAGGGCACAGGCCCAGGTTTCGGGCTCGATCCCCAGTGTGGGGCGTGCAGGAGGCAGCCGATCAATGATTCTGTCTCCTCATCAATGTTTCTTTTCTTCTTCTTTTTTTTTTTTAATCCTCACCCAAGGATATTTTTTCCGTTGACTTTGAGAGAAAGTGGAGAGAGAGGGGAAAGACAGAAACACCAATGTGAGAGAAACACATGGGCTGGCTGCCTCCCGTTCGCCCCCGACCAGGGCCGGGAGCCTGTAACCGAGGTGCATGCCCTTGACCAAAATCAAACACGAGACCCTGCAGTCCGCAGCCCCACGCTCTACCCACTGAGCCAAAATGTCCAGGGCTCAGAGCTCATCATTGATGTTTCTCTCTCTATATATCCCTCTCGCTCTCCCTTTAAAATGAATAAAAACATTTAAAAAAAAAGAAAGAAAAAGGCGTGGTTTGCACAATGTGAGCGTTTGGGTGAATTACAAACAGGGAGGCATGCACTGAGCAGCCTGACCCCTGACCCCTGCCCTCCCCCATCCAGCCCAGCCCCTGCCCGGGGCGTCCTGTGAACACCTGCCCACCGCCGTCCCCTCACCTTTCCGGTCCAGCGCCTGAGTCAGATCCTCCACCAGCATGGCGGCCTCCTTGCCGCTCCTGGGGCACTGGGCCCCCACCCAGGCCTGGATCTTGGGGGGCAGCGCGCCCAGGAACTGCTCCAGCACCAGCAGCTCCAGCATCTGCTCCTTGGAGTGCAACTCCGGCCGCAGCCACTGGCGGCACAGCTCGCGGAGCTGGGCCAGGGCCTCGTGTGGGTCGGACGCCTCCTCGTAGCAGAAGCGCCGGAAGCACAGGCGCGCGGCCTCCTCGGGGTGGGCCGCGTGGCCAAGGCTACACGCCTGGACCTGGGAGAGGCTGGCGTCCTCGTCCTCCACCTTCACCCGCAGGACGCCATCCAGTTCCCAGGGCACCGGGCTCAGGGGGGCCTGGGGGACGGCCATCGGGCAGGAGCAGGCCAGCGAGCCTGGGAGCTGGGTCTGCAGGGAGAGCAGAACGCTGTCACCAGGGAACCTGGGTGCTGCCTCACACCCAGAGCAGGACAGACGCTGGCCTGGGGCCTGGGACACGAGACTCACGCTCACAGGAAACAGATCCTCAAAATAATCAGGACAGCCCGGCTGGTGTGGCTGAGTGGTTGAGCGTCAACCTATGAACCAGGAGGTCGAGGTTCGATTGCTAGTCAGGGCAAAGGCCCGGGTTGCAGGCTAGATCCCCACTGTGGGGCGTGCAGGAGGCAGTCCATTAATGGTTCTCTCTCATCACTGATGTTTCTTTCTTTCTTTCTTTTTTTAAAATATATTTTTATTGATTTTTTACAGAGGAAGGGAGAGGGATAGAGAGTTAGAAACATCGATCAGAGAGAAACATCGATCAGCTGCCTCCTGCACATTCCCTACTGGGGACGTGCCCGCAACCAAGGTACATGCCCTTGACCGGAATCGAACCTGGGACCCTTGAGTCCGCAGGCCGACGCTCTATCCACTGAGCCACACTGGTCAGGGCTCATCACTGATGTTTCTATCTCTCTCTCCCTCTCCCTTCCTCTCTGAAATCAATAAAAATATACTAAAAAAATAATCAGCCCTAGCCAGTTTAGCTCAGTGGATAGAGCATCGGCCTGCAGACCGAAGGTTCCCGGGTTCGATTCCGGTCAAGGGCACGGACCTCGGTTGTAGGCACCTTCCCGGCCGGGGCCCTGGCTGGGGCACGTGCAGGAGGCAACCCATTGATGTGTGTCTCTCACATCGATATTTCTGTCTTTCCCTCTCCCTTCCACTTTCTCTAAAAGATCAATGGAAAAATAGCCTTGGGTGAGGATTAAAAATAAAATAAAATAAACCTCATTTGTTTAAAAAAAAAAAAAAGAAATTCACAATAGACTCAGAGGGTGGGAACTTTCTTTCCAATGAACAGATCTGAAAACAGACACAGAGAAGAAAACCATTGGCCCAGTTTCCTAATGATGGGATGGGCGCTGGCTGAGTTGAACAATCCAGGCAGCCCGACTCTATGGCCAGCCTGCACGCCTCCCCCCTCCTCTCTCACACACTCCCCAGGTAGCTGTGTGTGTGTGTGTGTGTGTGTGTATGAGATGATGCTCAAACCTACTGAGCCACCTGGCTGGGGGGAAAGTGTTTTTTTTCTTCTTCAATTTTTATTTATTTTTAATGTTCATTTCAGAGAGGAAGGGAGAGGGAGAGAGAGAGACAGAAAAAACATCAAGGATGAGAGAGAATCATGGATCGGCTGCCCCCTGCACGCCCCACACTGGGGATGGAGCCCGCAACCCGGGCATGTGCCCTTGACCGGAATCGAACCCGGGACCCTTTAATCTGCAGGCTGACACTCTATCCCAGTGGTTCCCAAACTTATTTGGCCTACCGCCCCCTTTCCAGAAAAAAATATTACTCAGCGCCCCCTGGAAATTAATTTTTTTTTAAATTTTAATAGCAATTAAACAGAAAGATATATGTATTAATGTTTCTACCTTTTTTGTAAAATATAGTAAAGAAAGGTGTAAATTAGAAACATTGAAGTTTGAAATTATGAAACTATTTATTGAACTCAGAATAGAAAGGTAATACAAAAAAAGTTAAAACAAATGCACCTGTGGCCATCACCGCCCCCCTGGATCGCTGCAGCGCCCACCAGGGGGCGGTAGCGCCCACTTTGGGAATCACTGCTCTATCCACTGAGCCACACCAGCAAGGACAGAGTGGTTTTTTACCATTTCTCACTCCTTACTCGTACCCGACCGGATAATGGCACCCACCTCAGAGGGTGGTGGTGAGGTTACCCAAGGCGATGCATGATGTGTGTCCAGCGCAGGCCGGGCTCACAGCAAACCTGCAGGGAACGTCCAACCTGATGGCTCTGCAGACCCTTAGCGGACGCCAGCTCCCAGAAGGCACCGGGGGACATATCCATAAACCGCTGGTCACACGATTTCCGCTGCAGACAAGGCAAGACACAAATTCTTCGTCATATCCTTGATAAACACTGCAAATCCTCCACACTTCAGTCCCCCTGACAAAAATGACAGTCAGTCGCACAGGTATGTGCACACACCCTACCTCAGGCAGCCTGTCAGTCATACCAAAATATTCCCAGGCACATACAATTTCTTTTTTTTTTTTAAAAAATATTTTTATTTATTTCAGAAAGGAAGGGAGAGATAGAAACATCGATGATGAGAGAGAATCATGGATCGGCTGCCTCCTGCACGCCCCACACTCGGGCCTGTGCCCTTGACTGGAATCGAACCTGGGACCCTTCAGTCTGCAGGCCGAGGCTCTATCCACTGAGCCACACCGGCCAGGGCCATTTCTATTTTTTTTTTAATGTATTGATTTGGGAGAGGTGGACAGGATGGGGAGAGAGGGAGAGAGAAACATCAATGTGAGAGAGAAAGATGTATTGGTTGCCTCCCAAACTCACCCCGAGCGGATACTGAACCTGCTACCCAGGCGTGTGCCCTGACCCGGGATCGAACCTGCAACCGGTTGGTGTCGGGGAGGCCGTTCCAACCAGCGGAGACCCCGCCAGGGCCCGGCGCACAGAGTCTCTGTCACACACAGACCCCAAGCACACAACCTGCTGGGAGGTGTCTCAAGGGGTGAACTTTGACCTATGAACCGGGACTTCCCGGGTGTGATTCCGGGTCAGGGCTCCATCCTCCAATATGGGGCTGCCAATCAATGATTCTCCTCATTGATGTTTCTCTCTCTCTCTCTCTTTTCCTCTCTGAAATCAATAAAAATATTAAAAAATAAGTAAACAGATAAACACACAGTCTCGGGGCATCTCCACGGTCGGTCACATCCCTGCTTGGTCGCCGCCTCAGCCAGGCCCACAGGGAGGCCCGGTCACCTGAGGCCACGCGCCAGCCTCTGACGTCACACACCTGCCGGCGGCCTCCCACGCCCCCGCCCCCGTCGGCGCCGCACACCCGGCCGGCCGGACGGTCAGACCCCGTCTCGCCCGCGGACCCCGCGCCCCTACCCGTCGGCCAGGCGCCCGCGCCCCAGCCTGGGGCAGGCCCCTCGCCCCGCGCCCGGTCAGCGGTCCCCACCTTGGACCAGTTAGTTCCGCGCAGTCAGCCCCTCACACCCGCCCGCCCGCCCTCCCGTGGCCGCGTCTAGCCCGGTCTCGCTTTGGGGCGCAGCGGACGCTCGCGGCTTCCGGGTCCGACCCCGGCGGGAGCCCCCTCGGACCCACCTCACTGTGGGGATAGGGGACACTTCCGGGAGCGGACGCGTAGGCGCCCGACGGAGGAGCCCGCCAGCGCGTCCGCACGCCGGAACTACAACTCCCAGAATGCGCCGCGCAGCCCGCCGGGACCACAACTCCCAGAATGCGCCGCGCAGCTCACGAGCACCACAACTCTCAGAATGCGCCACGCAGCCCGCCTGGACCACAACTCCCGGAATGCGCCGCGCCACACCGACCGGGCGTCGCCCAGGGTTACAGTTCTTAGAAGGTGCCACGCAGTAGCCCTCCAGCAGCCCGAGGCCCGCCGGGAGTTGTAGTCCAGGTGGGCCTACGTGGGGCAGCGGGACGGTGAGTGCAGGATCTTCTAGCTGGACCGTGCGTGGGAGGTTGAGGGTGTGTGCGCGAGGGGGTGAGGTGTGTGTGTGCTGGGTTGAGGGGTGTGGGTGCCGGGGTGAGGGGTGTGTATTGTGTGTGTGTGTATCTCACTGGGACCATGTACAGGGATCCCACGTGTCTGTCATGTGGTTGCACATGACCTGGGGGCTGAGCTGTGTGTCACCGCTCCGTCCTTTTTCTGGATTGTGGCTGATAAACAGCGTGGCCATAGGAGCCTCTGTCCCAGATCTGCCCCCTCGGTTGGTGACAGGGTCCTGAGCCCCACCCTGAGGTGAGAAGAGAAGCAGGAGGAGCAGGAGAGGGAGGAGCGGCGGGGGCAGAGGAAAGGGCTCTGTCTCCGAATACGAGCTCCCTGTCCCGGATGCACGGTCCCCGTCCTGGGAAGCGCGGTGCCTGCTGGGACCACTGACAGTTTTGGAAACTCGCGTGGACTGTCTGCCCGGGAACGTGGAGTCCAGGTGTGGCCAGGAAACCGGATGTCATTTTAATTAAGTCATTTCAACCAATTCCCCTTTCAGCAACCGCAGGACGTTTCAGCACCTCGGACAGCTCCCGGCCCTTCCTGCAAGGGAGGGTGTGTGTGTGTGGGGGGGGGGGGGGCGGGGTCATACAAAGTGAATTCCCTGCTGTGTGACAGCCGGAGGCCCACCCCTCCCCCGCCCCCCGGCTCCGCGCTGCCAGGTGGGTGGAAACCTGTCGGGATACTGCTGCTGCTGCTTCTTTCAAAAAATTATTTTTATTGATTTCTGAGAGGAAGGGAGAGAAAACCATCAATGATGAGAATCATTGATTGGCTGCCTCCTGCACACCCCCTACTGGGGATGGAGCCTGCAACCCGGGCACGTGCCCTGACCAGGAATCGAACCCTGACCTCCTGGTTCATAGGTCGAGGCTCAAGCACTGCGCCACGTGCATGCTTCCTTACGGGGACTGTCAGGTGGGGGAGTGCTCTGCAGTCCCAGCTGTCCTACATCCAGGCCCTGGCGAGACGCAGGAGGGAAGGGCTGATGTGTGTGCATGGGGATTGGTTGCCTTGCACAGCACCCTGACCGGGGACCGAACCTGAGACCCTGTGGTGTGCAGGCTGCTGCTCTACCCACTGCTCACCGGTCAGGGCGAGTAGCAGCTATTTTACATTAACCAGGTTCTGCTAACACACACACATGTGCGTGCACCTGTGTATACATAGAACAGGTGTGGCCAAGACACAGTCATATGGATGTTTTGATGCAGTGGTTCTCAACCTTGGCTGCACATTAGAATCACCTGGGATGAGGCCCAGAAATCAGGATTTCATTCTATTTTTTTTAAAAAATATATTTTATTGATTTTTTACAGAGAGGAAGGGAGAGGGATAGAGAGTTAGAAACATCGATGAGTGAGAAACGTCAATCAGCTGCCTCCTGCACACCCCCTACTGGGATGTGCCCGCAGCCAAGGTACATGCCCTTGACCGGAATCAAACCCGGACTGCAGGCCGATGCACTATCCACTGAGTCAAACCGGTTAGGGCCAGAAATCAGGATTTTAAAAAGATTCCCAGGTGATTCTAATGTGCAGCCAAGGTTGAGAACCACTGTTTTAATGGGAGAGAGAGAGACAGTAAACAATGGAAGAAATGATTACACTTACTTTCATTTGAGAGTTTTTTTTATTTCTTGAACTGGTAGTACTTTCCATGTTTCAAAATTCCAAAAATATCAAAAGATATAGAGTGAAAATTATTCTTCATCCCTTTCCCTCCGTTTCTCCTCCCCAAGAGCAGCTGGTACGTTGCACCCTTTCACAGCAGATGTGTGAGACACAAATGGGAGACACAACACACACGGCTCCCACCGTCTCACTTAACCACGTGTCCTGGAGCTCTGCCCACCCTCGTACACGGAGACACCCCCAGTTTTTTTTAAAATATATTTATTGATTTCAGAGAGGAAGGGAGGAGAGAGAGATAGAAACATCAATGATGAGAGAGAATCATTAATCACTGCCTCCTGCACGCCCCCTATTGGGGATCGAGCCCACAACCCAGGCATGTGCCCTTGGCTGGAATCGAACCCAGACCCTTCAGTCCTCAGGCTGGGGCTCTATTCACTGAGCCAAACCGGGTAGGGCGACACCCCCAGTTTTAAGGCCGGCAGTTCTCCACTTCACACCACAGGCCACTCAGCTAGGCTCCCCGTGGTCGATGAGAAGGTGGCTTCCACATTTTTACTTTTGACATGAGATGAGAAACGGGACATTTGCAGAGGTCTGGGCTGCCTGGGAGGCAGGTGGGTGCCCGCCCAGCGCCCACTCTGAACCGTGGAAACAGCCCTTCAGGTGCTGCCATCTCGGGGCCCGGTGGAGGGGACGGGGCAACCTCAGGCCAGTCCCGGAGCCACAGCGGGGTCCCCCTCCCGAGGACGCCGGCCGGTGGAGCCTTTCTGAGTCTGCAGCCCGCACAGCAGAGGGGCAGAGAGAAGGGACTGTCCAAGGGGGTTCAGGTGCTGGCAGAGGGCTGTCCCTTTCCTCTGGGGCTGGAGGTGGGGGAGTAGGAGCAGGAAGAGCCGATGTGCAGGTGGTGAGGTCTGCAGAGCAGGAGGCCACCGAGGCCAAAGCTCATTTACCTTCTGGCTTGGTCGGGGGTGGGGATGGGGGGGTACGAACCCAGAGAAAGGGCCCTGGAGCAAGGGGACAGCTCTGTTGCTGTTCTGGCGGAAGTTAGAACTCGGCACCAGAGGCCCAGACGGGGGACAGAGCTGCAAAGCTGTGGGTGTAGAGAGGATACATGGGGAGGATGTGGAGCATAAGACAGGCCCCGGGCACTGTCCTGGGACCCCCCAACATTTAAGAGGTGAGGGGTTGGATAAGGAGCCCCTCGAGGTGGAAGGGATCAGAGGGGCAGGACCCCAGGATGTAGGAGGGCCTGGCCGCAGGCTGGACGACCCAGGGGATGAGGGTTGGGCCAGAGGCAGGGGCGTCTGACCCAGGGACGGGACCTGTGAGGCTGCAGGAGGCGCAGAGGACGCCAGCTGCCTGTTACCCACTCTACTCCCCACGCCCATTTCTCGGGGTGCAGGTCTGCACCATGGAGCCTGGAAAAGCTGAAGACCAGCTTTCCGAGCCCCCTGTCCTGAGGCGGGCCATGGGGCCCGTCTTGGCCCATGAGACGCAGTGGGCGTCTGCTGGAGGCCTGTGCTGGCCTGCCCTTCCCCCGTCTCTTGATCTGGATGCAAGGGCTGGAGCCAAGTCTCCCGAGACGAGACGCTGGGGGAGGTGGAGAGGCTGCAGAGTGCGCGGCTCTGGCCCCGAGGTGGCCTCCAAGGAACCCCAACCTGTTGAAGCCACTCTGACGTCACTGTGTGTAACGGTGGGCGGTTCCGTGTCCTGTGCCCACCTTCCTGCTGTGTGAAGGGGAACCATCACCGAGGCCACGCCTTCCTGTGCGAAGGGAAGGCTCCCTGCCCCCAGTGACCCAGAAGGTGGGGCGGCCGAGGGCGGACACGGAGGCTGTGCAGGGACACACGCCTGGGCTTCATGGGGGGCCTTGCAGGCAGAACCTCCAGGGATGAGCCGCCAGACGCCCGTCTTTCCGGGACTCCGGGCTCCGCCAGCCTCACATGCCTCCCGCAGGCTGCAGTGCCTCCCATCCCAGGGCCAGTGTTGCTTCCTTCCTACTTTGGATGTGAATGGATGTACCTAACTTCACTGCGATGCCCGTGCGGGGGGAACAGCAAACCAGGAGGCCGTGTCTGTATCTCGGAGCAAATGACTGAACGTGCCGCGGGGCGGGCGCCATGTCTATGGGGGTCCACTTTGCTCCATTCTAGGTTAGAAAGCGGGAGATTCAAACCCTGGGTTTTTGTTTTCATTACATTTATTGGGGTGACACTGGTCAACATGATCATATAGGTTCCAGGTGTGGGCGTCTATGTTACAAGATCCATATACTGCACCGTGTGCCCACCACCCAAGGTAAAATCTTCTCCTGTCACCACTTTAAAAATATATGTTTTTTATTGATTTCAGAGAGGAAAAGGGAGAGAGAGATAGAAACATCAATGATGAGAGAGAATCATGGATCGGCTGCCTCCTGCACGCCCCACACTGGGGATCAAGTGTGCAACATGGGCCTGTGCCCTGACCGGCAATCAAACCCTGACCTCCTGGTTCATAGTTCAATGCTCAAGCACTGAGCCACCCCGGCCGGGCTAAACCCTGGGTTTTATACACGTTGGCCTATGAGACACCAAGGATCACACCTGATCACACTGTGTGCTTTTTAAATCCTCACCCGAGGATAATTTCCATGACTTTCTAGAGACAGTGGGTGGGAGGAGAGAGAAGGTTGACATGAGAGAGATACATCGTCCGGTTGCCTCCTGCACGTGCCCCTACTGGGGCTGGGAGCCTGCAACTGAGGTACGTGCCCTTGACCCGGAATCGAACCCGTGACCCTTCAGTCTGCGGGCCAAGGCTCTAACCACTGACTAAACCAGCAGGGCTGTCACAGTGCTCTTTATGTCAACAACAGCGTGGACCAAGCTGGGGAGCTTGGCTTTGCTCAGGTTTAAAATTGGAGCAGTAAGGTGATCGAGGCGGGGTTTGCAGCTGTGAACATGAATGGTCCCGTGAGCATGCCCCGCGTCACACAGAAATAAACCATGTTCTCAGAAGTCTGGCCTCACCTGGCACCGACATCTGGGGCCTCCAGCAGGGACCCCATACAAGGTGGGGTCACACAATTCACGAGGCGCCCCAGAACACCTGGTGGCGTGAGGCCAGATCAGAGGGCATTTCACCAGGCAAAGCGAGGAGCAGCTGATGGGCAGGCTGGAGATGGCGACAAACTCCCCCCCCAGAACGAAGATAAGACTGAAGAAGAGCCCTCGCTGGTGTGGCTCAGTGGACAGAGCGTCAGCCTGCAGACTCAAGGGTCCCAGGTTCCACTCCAGTCAAGGGCACATGCTCGGGTGAGGGCTCGATCCCCAGTGAGGGGCGTGCAGGAGGCAGCCCATCAAGAATTCTCTCTCATCATTGATGTTTCTGTCTCTCCCTCTCCCTTCCTCTCTGAAATCAATAAAAAAACAAACAAACAAACGTAAAACATTGTTAGCACAGCCCCGACCAACCAATTTACAGTTTGTGAAATGGCGGCTGGTGCTGGGCGCGGTGTCGCTACCTTGGCAGTGTGCACATTATGGGATGGTGAGCAGCATCCCTGCCTGAGCCCACAGATGCAGTGGCCCTGCCTCCTGCAGTCATGACAACCAGACATCACCAATGGAGAACCAACCTGCGGCTCCGAGCAGCACTGGCTTTCCCAGGAGCAGTGGCATCTCAGGGCTTCTGTGCCGTCTGCTTTGGGCATGAGGGTGGCTGATGGGGGTGGGGGCCAAGCTACTCTAAAGCCCGTGAAGTGCAGACTGGCCCTGGGGACCCCGCGTGTACGTATGAAACAATCTGTGTGTTGTGTGAACGGAGACCCTCGGCAGGCTTCACGGGTGGACACACACTAATCCTGCATTCTGAGAACTTCCCAGAAATGCAATGGCATTTTATTTTGCTCAAAACCTTTCCAAGAGCGAGTCAACTCTCTGAAGATCCACCTCCCGCCCTGGCAGGTTTCTCAGTGGTTAGAGCACCGGCCCGTGGACTGAAGGGTCGAGGATTAATTTCTGGTCAAGGGCACGTACCTTGGTTGCAGATTCAATCTGTGGCTCCCTTTGGGGCACGAGTGGGAGCAACCAACCGATGTGTCTCTAACACATCAGTCTCTCTCTCCCCTCTGCACCTGTCCCTTCCACTCTCTAAAAAAATAGTCCATAGGGAAATGTTTTTTATTCTTCTGGTGAGGATTAAAAAAAAAAAAAAAATCATCCCGGACAGGAATGCCCCTCACAATGCTTCCTGGCCAACCTCAGACCCAGTTACTAGACGACACCCACAGGCCCTGCCAGGTCCCCGGCATGACAGCTCGGTCAGGAGATTCCGCACCGGCTGGGTACACGTTACTCCATTATAATGACTTTTGCTTTAATTATTTTTTACAAAATGGGGCCTATGTTGGCTTTCTAACGTGACCTGTGAACCCGTTTCAGGTTCCCAGAGGCAATAGTAGAAAATATGAGTTTAAAGGGTTTGCCGGGCTCGATAGACCAGAGGCCCCCCAAGCTCCGGCGTCTGGGGAGAGCGGAGGCCCCCCAAGCTCCGGCGTCTGGGGAGAGCGGAGGCCCCCAAGCTCTGGCGTCTGGGGTGAGCGGAGGCGCCCAGGCCTTCCTCCCTTGTGGTCAGCCCACGCGGCCTCTGGGCCGGTTCGGTCACTGCAGTGCCTGTCCCCCTAGGGGGACTCCTTGATGTCAAACACCACGGACGCGCCCACGGGCGGCTCCTCCACCGCAATCACGTGCACGGGCTTCCGCTCCTGCACGATCCCCTGGATGTCAAACAGAGCGAGCGCCTTGCCGGCAGGCGGGCCCATCCCCGGGGGCCTCACCCGGGCGCAGGTGAGGAATCGAGCTGCGGCCCAGGGGCTGCTCCGGCCGCCGCCGCCTCCGCCCGCGAGGCCCGTCCCGCGTGTGCGTCACCTGGTGCCGGATGAGGTGCGAGCTCTGGATGAAGCACTTCCCGCACTGGCCGCACCGGAAGGGCCGGTCGCTGCGCGGGGCGCTCTCCCCCGGGGCCAGGGCCGAGTCGCAGCCCAGGGCGCCCGCCCACGGGTGCGCCGCGAGCGCCGCCTGCTGGAAGATGAGCCGCTGGCGGCACTCGTAGGGCTTCTCGCCCGCGTGCTTGCGCTGGTGCTGCGCCAGCGAGGAGCTGTGCCGGAAGCCCTTGCCGCAGTGGTTGCACTCGTAGGGCCGCTCCTCCGTGTGCGTCCGCAGGTGCAGGAACAGGCAGGTGGTCCGCGAGAAGGCCTTCCCGCACACGCTGCAGGCGTAGGGCTTCTCGCCCGTGTGCGTGCGCCGGTGCCGGCCCAGCGAGGAGTTCTGGTTGAAGGCCCGGCCGCAGTCCTGGCAGGCGTAGGGCTTCTCGCCCGTGTGGATGCGGCGATGCACGGTGAGGTGCGTGCTGTGGCAGAAGGACTTGCCGCACTCGGCGCACTTGTAGGGCTTGTCCCCCGTGTGGATGCGCTCGTGCTGCACCAGCGAGGAGTTCTGGCTGAAGGCCTTGCCGCACTCCTTGCACGTGTACGGCCGCTCCCCCGTGTGGATGCGCTTGTGCACCGTGAGGTGCGCGTTGTGGTTGAAGGACTTGCCGCAGTCCGCGCACTTGTAGGGCTTCTCGGGCGGGGGGCCGGCCGCGAGCTCCGCCAGGGCCCCGGCCCCGCTGTCCCACGGCGGCTCCGCGGAAGCCGGGCTGCTTGGCTGGGGGCGGCGGGGAGGGGGCCCCCGAGTCTTGTGGGCCTGCGAGTCCGGAGGGACAGGCGGAGGCGCTCCCAGGAGCCTCGGGGAACAGGCCAGGTCTGCGCTCGGGACACGGCTGTCCCCGAGGCCGAGGCTCTCGGGGCTCCTCCTTGAGCGGGGGCTTCCTCGAGGCAGAACTCCGCCGGCCTGCAGCCATCCTGGTCCTCCTCGGGCGCCCGGACGCGGCCCCCGCAGCCCCAGCCTTCCCCCGGGGCGGGGCGGGCGGCGGCCCCCGGGAGGCCTGTCCTGTCCGTGACACCGGACGGCGCTTCCTCAGGAAGGACCTGCCCCGCGGGCGGCGCGGGCCCTTCAGGTCCCGGGTCCCAGCCTGGAAGAAAGCAGAGCGCTGATGAGGCCGGGAAGGAACAGAGGGGAGTCGGCCCCCCAACAGCCCGGCCCCCCCCCGCGGGCCGAGGTCTGCTCTTCCGCCAACACCAGTGCCCGCTGCACCCACAGCTGCCGTCACCCATCCTCCGACCTAACGTCCAGGCCCCTCCTCGGCGGGGCGTCCGCCCAGAGCACAGGCGGGAAACGAAGTGCCCCAGTGACGGATGGCTTTTATGTCTGTTTTTAAACTTTAGCTTTTACTTTTTCACTCACAGCTGACATCCAATACCGGTACCGGTATATTAGTTTTAGGTGGACAACCCAGTGATTAGACTTTATATCACTTAAGTGATCAGGTTTTTGTGTTTGAAAAGGGCTGTAGGAAAAAAAAAAAAAAGAATATGCAACACAGACAGGAGGGATTCTAAAGCTCCGGCCTGCTGTCCAGTCACAGCCACGGAGGCATCGCCGTGGAGGGTCTGCAGGCGGCAGGAAGGTCGCCATCAGCTGCCCTTAACCCTCACAACAGGGAGCTGGGCCCCGGCCGCTGTGGCTGTTGGCTGAGCATGAAGGTCACCGGTTCGATTCCCAGTCAGGGCACATGCCTGGGTTGTGGGTCTGGTTCCTAGTCAGGGTGCATGAGGGAGGCAACCAATCAATGTTTCTCTCTCCGCCCTTCCTCTCTCTAAAATCAATAAAAACGTATTTAGGGAACATGTAGGAAGCAACCTATCAGTGGGCCTCTCTCACATCAATTTCTCTCCCCCCTCCTTCCCTTCTACTCTCTTTAAAAATCAATGGAAAAAATATCCTCTGGTGAGGATTAAAATAAAAAATACAAAGAAAAAAACCGAAAAAAGAATCGGGGTTACCCAGGTGGCCTCAAAGCCACCCCCTCAACGTTATGGGACGAGGGAGGGAGGAGGGGGAGCCCCTGTGCAGGAGCCTCTTGGAGCTGAGAACAGCCCTTGGACGATGGTCTGCAAAGACCCAGGACCCTCAGTCCCAGGACGCCCAGAGCTGAACTCGGCCAGCAACCCGGTGCGGCCTCCCAGTGAGCCCACCCCAGCCCGGCTGACACAGCCCGGCTGACATGACTACGGCCGTGTGACCCGGAGCAAGAAAACCAGCCGGTCTGACTGACAGAACTGAGACACTGGTTTTTTTAAACTTACCTTTATTGTTGGAAGTATTACAAATGCCCCTTTTTCCACCATTGACCCCTTCTAGCCCACCCCGCTCTCCCTGCCCAATGTGCTTTGTTTTAAGCCAGGGGTCCTCAAACTACGGCCCGCAGGCCACATGCAAATACAAATATTGTATTTGTTCCCATTTTGTTTTTTTACTTCAAAATAAGATATGTGCAGTGTGCATAGGAATTTGTTCATAGTTTTTTTTTAAACTATAGTCCAGCCCTCCAACGGTCTGAAGGACAGTGAACTGGCCCCCTGTTTAAAAAGTTTGAGGACCCCTGTTTTAAGCTGTTATGTTCATGGTGATAGAAAACAGACTACACGCAGCCTGCAAAGCCTAAAATACTTGCTATCTGACCTCAGATGCTGGGGATCAAGCAGTGACCCCAACAGATGGAGAGCCTGCCTTCAGGAGCTGGGAGCAGACGCTGAACGAAGCCTGGAGCAGCAGCCTGGGGGCTCAGGGCAGGCGAGCAGCTCAGTTTTAGAAAACCCGAGTCACAGGCCACAAGGTGGTGGGGTGCCCACCTCAGGACCCCTGGGGAGCTGCAGTGCCCAGGCCTCCAGGCCCAGGAGGGCCCCCTGCTTAGTGCACTGAGGTGAAGGTGGACCCATTTTCTCTGGCGGCTGCAGCCACCACCGGACTCAGCACCAGGGGAGCAGTGACCTTCAGCCCATGGGGACAGCGACCTTCAGCCCATGGGGACGGCGACCTGGAGCCCATGGGGACGGCGACCTGGAGCCCATGGGGACGGCGACCTGGAGCCCATGGGGACGGCGACCTGGAGCCCATGGGAACGGTGACCTGGAGCCCATGGGGACGGTGACCTTCAGCCCATGGGGACGGTGACCTTCAGCCCATGGGGACGGTGACCTGGAGCCCATGGGGACGGCGACCTGGAGCCTGCCTTCCTCTGGACTTGGCCTCGCCCGCCCTTTCCCCTTTCTGGACCTTCCCCGTAACCTTTCGCTGTGAGCACTGGTCTGGAGGACCCGGCTCACCACCCCTTTCCAGCAGCGCCCCGTAGGGATCCCCACCTGGACAGCAGCCCTGGGCGAGTCCTCGCTCCACCACCCACAGCTCAGCGCCTCGCTCCAGCTGGGAGATGACTTCCGGTTTGGGAAGCTCAGGCCCTGGAAACAGAGAGAAACGGAATGTGGGTTCTGCTCAGGACACGAAGGAGCAGCCCCGCCCCAGCCCTGGACCCCTGACCGCCAGGCGGGGAGTCTCACACAAGAGAAGGCTCTGCAATGGGACAGGGAAGGGCAGACACCTCCCCGTCCACATGTCCCTCAGGGATGGAGAACCCAAGGTCCTGGTCCCCAGCCCAAGGCCTACGACCTGTTACCCACGAAGAATTAGTGCAGGAATCTGCTCTCAGCTCGGGTGGCGGCCTCACCCACAGACAGCAGGTGCCCGAAGGTCTCCAGCATCACGTCCCGGTACAGCGTCCTCTGCTCAGGGCCCAGATGCCCCCACTCCTCCGGGGAGAAGTCCACGGCCACGTCCCGGAAGGTCACCGGCTCCTGAAACATCACACACAGGCCCCATCAGTTGGGTTTCCCCTCAGCGCTTACAGGAAGAGGAGGAGTGGGGAGGAGGAGAGAGAGCACGTCCTGGGATGTGAGCGGGTCCCGCTGGCACCCACTGGGTTCTACATGTCCCTGTGGACGGCACAGCGAGGACGTGTGAGAGCCGCCAGCACGATCGAACCACCCACCGCAGACCCACAACGATCTCAGACAGCTGAGGGTGCGGACAGAGACCGTCTGCGCTCCTGCCTCGCAGATCTGTGGGCCACAGAACGGCTGCTGTCAAGGCCCCGGGCCTGGGGTGGTTTGTTATGCACCTACAGTTTACACGAACCCTCAGGCTCAGCCAGGCCTGTCCTCTGACAAGAGGGTCACAGTGAGAGTCAGAAGCCCCCCTGCCTCAGGAACCGGGCAGGCGCCCAGGGCTGGCGTGGCCAATGTGAGCGTTTAACCCGAGGGCGACACCGGAGGGGACAGGGAATGGGCCCGTGTACAGGGCAGCTGGACTCACTGACTGTGGGGAAACGCGGGCCTCAGTGGTCAGAACTGCCCGTCTCTGGTGAGAAGCTGAAAATTAGGTCAGCTTAATTTTTAGAAATTGGTACAATGTACTTAAAACGTGTCCCACAGCCCTGGCCGGTGTGGCTCAGTGGATAGAGCGTCGGCCTGTGGACTGAAGGGTCTCAGGTTCCGTTCCAGTCAAGGGCAGGGACCTCGGTTAGAGGCTCGATGGCCGGGCCTGGTCAGGGTGCGTGCCAGAGGCCACCAATCGATGTGTCTCTTCCTGTCTCTCCCCCTCCCTCCCACTCTCTCTAATCAACAGGAACATGTCCTCAGATGAGAACTGACAACAACATAGAGCAGCCCAGAGCAGGGACCCAGCCTGCCTCCTCGTTTCCTGTCTCCTCGGGGCCGTGGCGGGGGCTGCCTGGCTGTGAAACACGCCCTCCAGGACCAGCAGGGAGCCGCGTGCAAAAGCATGAAGTTGGTCCCCACCTCACATAAACGTTAACAGCGGAAACGACTGAACTCTTAGCGGAAAACACAGGGACAGTCTTCCTACCCTGGACTTGGCAGAGGACTCTGAGATACGACAGCAAAAAGCACAAGAAATAAACGGAACGTCCTCAACATGAAGACCTTTCGTGCCCCAAAGGAAACTCCAGCGAACAGACACCCACATAATGGAAGGTACTAATTGCAAAACACACACTAATCTGATAAAAGATTTGTATCCAGAAGATACAAAGAACTCTTACAACTCAATAATAAAGGCCACATAATAAACTAACAAAGGAGCCGAAACCGGTTTGGCTCAGTGGGTAGAGCGTCGGCCTGCGGACTGAAAGGTCCCAGGTTCGATTCTGGTCAAGGGCATGTACCTTGGATGCGGGCACATCCCCAGTAGGAGGTGTGCAGGAGGCAGCTGATTGGTGTTTCTCTCTCATCGATGTTTCTAACTCTCTATTTCTCTCCCTTCCTCTCTGTAGAAAATCAATAAAATATATTAAAAAAAAACAAAAACTAACAAAGGAGCTAAAAGAAAACCTCCAAGCAGATAGAGCCCTGGCCCGGGAGAGCGCAGTCCCCACCGGCCGAGGGTGCAGGTGTGAGCCCAGGTCGGGGCAGGTGCAAGAACCCGCCAACGGCCTGGACAGTGTGTCCAGGTCCGGCGCCCTCCCCTGCGCAGAAGGGTTGCCCGTTGGATTCTCCTCAGGGCACAGGCCTGGGTTTCGGGCTCAATCCCCAGTGGGGGGCGTGCAGGAGGCCGCTGACCCATGTTTCTATCTCCTCGCTAAGCATAGACTTAAGGACCAGGAGGTCCCAGAAACCCCAATCAGAAAGGATATATGCACTCCTATGTTCATAGCAGCACAATTCACCATAGCTAAGATCTGGAAACAGCCTGAGTGCCCATCAGCAGATGAATGGATTAGAAAACTGTGGTACATCTACACGATGGAATACTACCGCTATAAAAAAAAGAAGGAACTTTTACCATTTGCAACAGCATGGATGGAACTGGAGAGCATTATGCTCAACGAAATAAGCCAGTTGGAGAAAGATAAATATCACATGATCTCACCCATGTGTGGAATATAATGATCAACATAAACTGATGAACAAGAATAGATCCAGAGACAAATGGCAGGGGAGGTGGAGGGGGGTGGGTTTAGAGAGCAACCAAAGGACTTGTATGCATGCACATTAGCAGAACCAATGGACACAGACACTGGGGCTGTGGGGGCTGGCCCGGGTGGGAATGGCTGGTGGTGGGGGTGGGGCGTCAATTGGGGGGGAAAAAGGAGACATATGTAAAACTTTAGACAATAAAAAAAATTATAAAAATAAGCAAATAATAATGATAAATACAAAAGATATATATATAGATCCAGGAGGTCACAGTTCAATTCCCAGTCAGGACACATGCCTGGGGCTCAGGCTCAATCCCCAGTGGGGGCCGGTGCAGGAGGCAGCTGACCCATGTTGCTCTCTCACATCGATGTCTCTCTCTCTCTCTGCCCCCTCCCTCCCTCCCTTTCTGCTAAAAATCAGTAAACATATCCTCCAATGAGGATTAAAAAAAAAAAAGAAGTTCAAAGATGCCAGCTTCAGGAATTCTGAGTGACATTTGTCTCCTTACAATGGGGAGAAGCAGTACTTTATTTTTTATTATTATTTTTTTTTAAATAAAGTTATTCATTTTTTAAATTTATTGATTTCAGAGAGGAAGGGAGGGAGAGAGAGAGAGAAACATCAATGGTGAGAGAGAATCATGGATCGGCTGCCTCCTGCACGCCCCGCACTGGGAATCGAGCCTGCAGCCCAGGCAGGTGCCCTTGGCCGGAATCGAACCCGGGACCCCTCAGTCCGCAGCCCGACGCTCTATCCATTGAGCCACACCAGCTAGGGCGGCATTTTACTTTTTTAAAATTGATTTTAGAGAGAGGAAGGGAGAGAGAGAAACATCAATGAGAGAGGATCAGGCACCAGCTGCCTCCTGCACGCCCCCCTCCTCCCCACCCCCCCCAACTGGGGAAGGAGCCCGCAGCGCCCCGACCAGGACTTGAACCCTGACCTCCCGGTTCATAGGTCACGCTCCGCCAGACAAACACAGGCAGCGGCCACTTGGCCTGGACTCGCGGGGCTGGGGGTCGGGTGCCTGCCCACCGCGACCCGCACGGCTGCCCTCAGCCCCGGGGGTGGCGCCGGGCCCCGGGGTGTCTCTCCGCCCCTCACGGGGGCGGGGCCGCCTGACGTCTCCTCGCCTCCCGAGGGGCTGCCCGGCCCGCAGGCCAGGGTCCCGGGAAGGACCCTCAGCCGCATCCGAGCCCCGGGAGGCGGGGAGCGGCCGCGCACCCGCTCTCGGGGACCCCCAGCCGCGCGCCAGGCCGCGCACGCGCACCTCGCCTCAGTTTCCCCGCGCGCCGCGGGGGTGAAAGGTCAGACGCGGAGGGAGACGTCCGGCCGGGCCCGCGGCCCCCGTCGTGACGGCTATTGTTACTGTTACCTGAGGCCGTCCCGGCGGCGGCCCCGGCGTCACCGCCATCGCCAGTGCGGCCGCTTCCTCCTCAGGGTCCATCCTGGGCCGAGAGGTCGAGGACCAGAGCGCGGGGCGACCCCAAACCCGAGAGCCGCCCCCGACGCAGGGTCCGCTCTTGCTCGTCCGCCGCGGGACAATGGCGGCCGCTCTGGGGACGTCCAGACTACAACTCCCAGAAGGCCGCGCGGCGCGTGGCAGCGCGCAACCAATAGGGTCTCCTCTTGTTGAGGCTTCGACCAATGGGAGACTTCTGGCATCGGGCCAATGGGAGCCTCCGCCTACCGACTTCCGGCCAATGGGGCCCGAGGCGACTCCGGGATGCGGTGACGCGGGGCGGTGGGGCGACCGGGGCCTGTGTCGCACGGGGAGACGCGGGGGGCGGGGATGGCGTCCCAGCCTCTGGGGTCGGCACCTCTTCTCCGGCGGCTCCCGCCTGCGCCCCCCTCACAACACTCTATACGCCGGGACTGGATGAGCTGGTGTTAAGTCGGGCCTTGGGGGCCCCCTTTTTATCTTTTTAAAAAAAAATGTATTTTTATTAATTTCGGAGAGGAAGAGATAAAAAATCAATGATGAGAGAGAATCATGGATCGGCCGCCTCCTGCACGCCCCCTACTGGGGATCGAGCCTGCAACCCGGGCCTGTGCCCTGACCGGGAATCGAACCCGGGACCCTCCAGCCCGCAGGCCAATGCTCTGCCCACTGAGCAACACCAGTCAGGGCCCCTTTTTATCTTTGGGGTGCCTTGCTGCCTCGGACTCTGAAAATATTTCTACCGCCTGCTGGGTGGGTCGGTTGGTTGGAGCGTCATCCCGCACATGGAAAAGGTTGCGGGTTCGATTTAGGTCAGGGAGAGTGCCTAGGTTGAGGGTTTGATCCCAGTTAGGGCACAATAAGAATCAACAAATGAAAAAAAAAAAAAAGCATCAACCAATGATTGTAGAAGTGGAACAACAAATCCCTCTCTCTCCCTCTCTCTCTCTCTCTCTCTCTCTCTCTCTCTCTCTCAAATAAATCAATAAGCCTGGCAGGTGTTGCTCAGCAGCTGAGAGTTGAGCCTTGAACCTGAGAGGTTCCCAGTTTGACTCCCAGTCAGGGCACATGCCTGGGTTTCAGGCTCCATCCCCAGTAGGGGGCGTCGAAGAGGCAGCAGATAGATGTTTCTCATCAATGTTTCTGTCCCGCTATCCCTTTCCCTCTCCCTCTCTCTAAACAAAGTCAATAAAAGTCGTATTAAAATCAATCAGTAGCCCTGGCCGGTTTGGCTCAGTGGAGAGAGTGTCAGCCTGCGGACTGGAGGATCCCAGGTTCGATTCCAGTCAAGGGCATGTACCTGGGTTTCGGGCACATCCCCAGTGCGGGGCGTGCAGGAGGCAGCTGATCAATGTTTCTCTCTCATTGATATTTCTAACTCTCTATCCTTCTCCCTTCCTCTCTGTAAAAAATCAATAAAGTATATATTAAAAAAAATAATAATCCAGAGCCAAAGAACTCAAATACAAGCAGAAGTATATTTAGAAAGTCACAGAGGTAGAAGTGACAAGTGGAGGAAGTGAGCCAGCCAGGCTGCGTGGACTCAAGCAAAGGCAGGTGACTCGAGGGAATAAGGGGGTGAAGGGAAGGCTCTGGCCTGCTCAAGAGAGAGAGAGCGCCTTAAATTCAATATTATGTTGTTTATTAGGGGTGGGAGAAATGCAGCATGATTTAAAAAAAATATGTTTTATTGATTTTTTTACAGAGAAGAAGAAAGAGGGATAGAGAGAAACATCGATGACAGAGAAGCATGGATCAGCTGCCTCCTGCACACCTCCTACTGGGGATGTGCCCGCAACCTGCAGCATGACTTTTTGATGATGTTCTCTGATCTCAAAACCACAAGATGGAATCATGGCAAGAAACAACATGCACACTGAGGTGTGAGGACAGGTTCCGGAAAACCAGTATGAAGCAGGAACTCTATGACCCGTGTGCTTTCTCCACGTGTGCAGCCAGAGCTGCTGTTTAAGCAGCTTAACAGAACAGGTTCTGTGGCTAATTGTATTCATGTTTGAAGAGGTATGAAACTTACACAAAAAGGGTGAACACGGCAGACTGAGGCTGCACATGTTCAAGGTCCTAAAATGTAAAGTTGGCCCTTGGCTGTCATGCGGGAAGTAGGCTTTGAGTGTTGTCTGTAGGCTGATGCCTCACTGTGCCCAGAATCTGCAAAAAAAAAAAAAAAAAAAAAAGAAAGAAAAGAAAAAAAGTTATTTGCACTGAGCCCCGGCTTTGTCTTGGGGAGTCTGGACTTTGGCACATGCTGAGCAGAAGGTGCCTGCTTGCCTGGTTCCGTGCTGTGTGTGTGACCACCTCAAAGGAGGGCCAGCCATGTTAACCTACACATGATTTCCCCAGACTTTGCATGAATTTTCCTTTACGAAAAACTGTGTATCCTCGGCATATCACCTGCATAAAACTACACATGGGATCCCATGAAATCTGGAAAAAACTCGGGATATGGGGGGTGGTCTTGTGGGTCCCCAATCATCCCACTGCTAGTTGTATCAAAATTATGTTTAGGAGAGAGATACAAGGACATGAGGAGAGGCCATGCTGATGGAGGCAGAGATGGGAGCGAGGCAGCTACAAGCGGAGGATTGCTGAGACGAGGCAAGGGATTCTTTTTTTTTTTAATATATTTTTTTATTGATTTCTGAGGAAGGGAGAGGGAGAGATAGAAACATCAATGATGAGAGAGAATCATTGATTGGTTGCCTTCTGCATGCCCCCTACTGGGGATTAAGCCCGAAACCCAAGCATGTGCCCCTGACTGGAATCAAACCTGGGACCCTTTAGTCCACAGGCAGATGCTCTATACACTGAACCAAACCAGCTAGGGTGAGGCAAGAGATTCTTCTGAGAGCCTTCACAGGGAGCTGCTGACACCCGATCCCAGAATTCTAGTCCCCAGACTGTGACAGAACAAACTTGTTGCGAGGCATCTGATGGTGGAAATTTGCTGTGCAGCCATAGGAAGCGAGCGCAGGGTCCATCAGGGGTCCCATGGTGTGCTGTTCAGTGGGGCTGCCCAGAGAGCAACTGATGAACCTCAGCAGACGGAAACTGGAGATTCCCTGGGGCCAAGGAAGGAGGAAAGCAACCTTAAAGGCATCCACCTGATAAGAAAATTGTAGGTAAAAGACCCCCAGGGATGGAGTATCCCTAAGAAACCCATAAAAATGCCCTCATGAGAAAGACTTAGAACCATCTACAAGGCTCAGAAAGCACAAAACCAACTTATACGCGTGTTATCGGATTAAGAGGGATCCCCTTCCCTTCTCCTCTCCATGTTCTTCCCTGGCAGCATCCCCAGTGGAGTCAGAAACAACAGCCAGAGAGATGGAGGGAGAAGAGGAGGGAGAGGAAGGGAACTGCCTTCCCCTCAGGTGGCTGGCAGGAAGCTGAGGGAGGGAGAGGGGCTGTAATTTTGAATGAAGTTCATGAGTTATTTTGTGGGACTAGAACTAGATACTCTAAGCACCTTAACTAAAAGTGTTTTCCAGGCTGAGTTATCTGAAAATGAACGGAAAGGTCACGAGACAGAAGAATTTCCATTGAAAAAAGGCAAAAATTAAGTTGCTTTATAATAAAACAAAACAAAACATTATGTGTAGGATTATTTTGGTATTTATTTTCAATAGGGGGAACTGGATGTATTTGTTCGGTTACAAGCAGCCCTGCTGCCTGGCTGGCATGGCTCAGTGATTGAGCATCAACCTATGAACCGGGAGCTCTCGATTAGATTCCCGGTCAGGGCACATGCCCTGGTTGTGGGCTCGATCCCCAGTGTGGGGCATGCAGGAGGCAGCCCATCAATGATTCTCTCTCATCACTGAAGATTCTCTCTCCCCCTCTCACTTCCTCTCTGAAATATATAAAAGCAGCCGGCGATAATACAAAATAGGTGTGGTTTCTCTTTTGGGTCTTCTTTTTACCTAAGTTACAACTTCAAGTGAAACCAACAAAAAGGAAACATAAATATACAATTTAAAAAAGTATATTTTTATTGATGTCAGAGAGGGAGAGACACAGGAACATCAGTGATGAGATAGAATCATTATTGGCTGCCCCCGCATGCCCAACACCGGGGATCGAATTCACAACCTGGGCATGTGCCCTGACCAGGAATCAAACCATGACCTCCTGATTCATAGGTCGATGCTCAACCACTGACCCACACTGGCTGGGCATAAATATACAATTTTGAGAATACAAAATGTTTACAAATACAGGGTACAGAAAGTGTCCTCAAACTACGCAAATATCCAGGTACCACCTAAGCCTGCCCAGGTGGACTCTCTGAAGATGGGCCCAGAAACCTGCAATTCCAACACCGTTTTCAGGTGGGTCCTTCACACATTATGAGGATCATTTCAGGTGGAAATGTCTTAGGTTCCCATTTTATTTTTTTTAAAAATATTTTTATTAATTTCAGAGAGGAAGGGAGGAAAGAGAGACAGAAACATCAATGATGACAGAGATCACCGACTGGCTGCCTTCTGCACGCCCCCCACTGGGGATTGAGCCTGCAACCCCAGCATGCGCCCTGGACCGGAATCGAACCCAGGAACCTCCAGTCCACAGGCTGATGCTTTAATCCACTGAGCCAAACCGGCTAGGGCTAGGTTCCCATTTTAAATGAGCCCAGTTCTTGGGTCCTTAAGAGCCTCAGGTTTCTGATTTGTTAAGGGCAGGGCCGGATGCACTCACTGCAGACATAGGCCGTCCTCCCACTTCCTGCACACAGATGTCTCCCTGTGTGATTCCCACTGGGTGTTGCCTCCAGGAGCACATAGCCACAGAGCCTGTGTGGGCTCTCCATTTTGAAGAGGGGACCTCAGACACACATTCTGGGACTCCAGTAGCACCTTCATTGAACAAAGCGACTTTCAGGACTTACTGAGTGGAACCTGCTTAGAGGTCTGGACAAGAATGTCAACATTCCCTTACCCCTGACCGGTTTGGCTCTGTGGATAGAGCGTCGGCCTGCGGACTCAAGGGTCCCAGGTTCGATTCCCGTCTAGGGCATGTGCCTTGGTTGTGGGCACATCCCCAGTGGGGAGTGTGCAGGAGGCAGCTGATCGATGTTTCTCTCTCATCGATGTT